ATTCTTCCATTCTAACAGCCTTTGTACATTCTTGCTTCTTTTGCACCCTGTTGATTCTGATCTATTGTTGATTTTTGTCTACTGTTCTGTACGTGAGCAAGGAATTCTTGCATTCAGTTTTTTCTTTTCTATGTATGCATTAAATATGTTGTCTGATTCTTCTGTCATGATCTAATTACGATTATCATAATTTACTAGTTGTTTATTGACTTGATTGTGGATTGTAAGCAAAGATTGGATTAGATTTCAAATTTTTGGTTCTATCTATGGAGGTTTTGCTAATGCAATGTTATTTGAATGTCAACTTTAGTTATGATGTTACATTAGAAGGGGATCGACCCCGTCCTTGGCCTTAAGGAGTTGTAGCAGCATAGTACTTCAATTAATCAAATGGCAAAGAAAGGGACTTGACTTGTATATTTATTGATGCTTAGTTCTGCCGGCATTCTACTTGGTTTAGTGGTTGTTGGCCTTAGTTTTAAATCTCTTCGTTTGTTTATAGCAGTGTTTGATGGGCATTAGTGGCTTCAATAAAATGATATGACTATACGAAAGCATGTGTCTCTCCTTATATAGGAGGGCATGCGACTAATAGCTCTCACTTGGTCGAGCTCTTAGTCGGTTTTTAAGATAAGNATTCTTCCATTCTAACAGCCTTTGTGCATTCTTGCTTCTTTTGCACCCTGTTGATTCTGATCTATTGTTGATTTTTGTCTACTGTTCTATACTTGAGCAAGGAATTCTTGCATTCAGTTTTTTCTTTTCTATGTATGCATTAAATATGTTGTCTGATTCTTTTGTCATGATCTAATTATGATTATCATAATTTACTAGTTGTTTATTGACTTGATTGTGGATTGTAAGCAAAGATTGGATTAGATTTCAAATTTTTGGTTCTATCCATGGAGGTTTTGCTAATGCAATGTTATTTGAATGTCAACTTTAGTTATGATGTTACATTAGAAGGGGATCGACCCCGTCCTTGGCCTTAAAGGAGTTGTAGCAGCATAGTACTTCAATTAATCAAATGGCAAAGAAAGGGACTTGACTTGTATATTTATTGATGCTTAGTTCTGCCGGAATTCTACTTGGTTTAGTGGTTGTTGGCCTTAGTTTTAAATCTCTTCGTTTGTTTATAGCAGTGTTTGATGGGCATTAGTGGCTTCAATAACATGATATGACTATACGAAAGCATGTGTGTCTCCTTATATAGGAGGGCATGCGACTAATAGCTCTCACTTGGTCGTGCTCTTAGTCGGTTTTTAAGATAAGGCGCAATGTACTTGATCCTCCTGTCTGTATATAGTCTGGTGCACATGCGATCGACTCCATGTGCACNTCTTAGTCGGTTTTTAAGATAAGGAGCAATGTACTTGATACTCATGTCTGTATATAGTCTGATGCACATGCGATCGACTCCATGTGCACCTGAGACCAACCAAAAGCCAAAGGTGTCAATTTGGATGGCAGTACATGGCTGAAGCTGTGCCTTTTAATTGCTTGGTTTCATTATTTGCTTGCTTGTAATCTGTTTCAATTAGGAGGTTTCCAACTTTTATTTTGCTCTGCATAACGGGTGATAAAAACTCCCTTTTCTCTTTGAGGACTTGTATCATCCAGTTCATGTTTGAGTAAAAGTTGAAAGCTTAGAGATAGTCTTCCGATCTAAGCTTGGTGTTTCTTAAGAAATCGAATAGTGTGGGATTAATCTTCGAATTCGATGCATCATAGTTTTCAACTAGAA